TTTAACAGTAATAATTTGTTTAACAGTATGTTATTAGTGTACAAATCCTTTTTACATATTAATCAATTTTTGAATTTTTTTTTTAATTACAATGTTGTTAGAATAATATACATGAAACTTTTTTTCATATTTTTTTAAATATAAGAATAAATTTTTCTTCATTTTTACTACCATAAAAAATTTAATAATTTTAAGGATCTTTTTATGTTATCTAGTTACCATTATATAATTGTTTAACTTCATTCGGTTGCATTTTTATATGTTAGCTTGTTTTATCATTGTTATGTTTATCTAAGTTGAGACAATTAACCAAACTCTCTTGTTAATTAATGTTTTTTAATTAATTTAATTAAATTTTTAATTACTTTAATTAAATTTCTTAAACAATTGATTAATTTTTTATACATTTTTATACATTTTTGGGTACTTTGGTACAACTTTTTAGACATCTTTCATGTTGTTATTTTTCAGTTATGAAAAAAAATGAAATATTTTTAACACTATTATTATATTAAGTATTATTGTGTAACAGTTTGTAGCTATACTTCAGCTTCCTCTTCTCCTTCAGCCATAATTTTACATTATAAACTTTGTATGAAATAAAGTTAGATTTTCTTTGAAGTTATTTATTCTAGATAAATCATATTAAACAAGCTTATGGAGAAGACAAACATTTAAAATTTTTTATTTAAAGTCTTTTACTATAAAGCTTCTAAATTAAAGATTCATTGATTTTAAACAGTAAGTAATCCAATTGGGTGATAGTTAGATGGGTCAAAAGATCTTCAAAGTTTTTTTATATTGAGGTTGAGTTCATACACAGTATTAATCTTATAGTTTGTAAATTTATAAAATAATCAAAAGATAACTAAAATTAACCTTTAATGAAAACATTGCCAAAAGAAAAGTTTTTAAATAATCATATTTTTGATTTTTTAACTCAATTTTTTAACTCCACTTGCAGAGTTCATCTCAGGAGAGGTAATAACAGTAGTTTAAAGTAATAATTTTAATAATTAGCTTAAATAAGAAGTTTTTTAGAAGTTTAAGTTTATATAACTACATTTTACATTTTACATAACTACATTTTAATTATCACAGATTGAAATTAATCAGAAATAACTAAAAGCTGATGATGATGCTTTATGTTTAGATATATCAGAGACATGCACAGCACTAAAAAATTATTATTTGAAAAAATATGGGAAAATAAATGAAGTTCAACCACTACTAAAAGAACTTGCTAATGTTGATCTAATACAAAAATTTGTTGATCTATGTATTGTTGATGCATATAATGCTCAAATAGATATTGTTTGTAGTGATGAACGAAAGAAATTTCTTGAAAAGCAAATGAGTTATACACCAATTCCATACAGTGACATATTTATGAAAGAAAAATCTGTAATATTATTATCTGGAATAGCTGGTATTGGGAAAACATGGTTCCTCAGAAAATGTTTGCTCGATTGGTCCAATAATTTGATTTGGAATAATGTGGAACTTGTTTTTTATTTGGAATGCAGGAGGCTTAATCAATATCAAAACATTTCAAGTATTAATGAATTACTACATGTTTTCTACAAAGATATTATAAATGATTTTGATATTAGTAAGCATACTGCTTTGTTTATAATTGATGGATTAGATGAGTTTAAATATTTAAATGAATTACTAAATCCAAGTTCATGTTGTACCTATCCAATTGTTAATGTTTTAGCAGAAATTCAAAGTTATAAACATGTAGTTGCTGGTAGAGTTTATGCAATTGATAATTACCAAAATTTATATGCAGAGCGTAGTGATAAGTTAGCCATTCAAATAATGGGGTTTAACAAAATTGGAGTTGAAAATTTTGTAGAAAATCATGTTATACAAGAAAAAAAAGAAGTTGTTAAAGCAACTTTAAAGGAGTCTACAATTGCAAAAGTTATGGCAACTGTTCCATTTTATTTATCTTCCATGTGTAAAATTATTAGTGATTCAAGCAAAATATATACAACTTCTTTCTTAACAATGACAGAATTGTATGCAAATATTTTTTTATACTTTTTGCAAAAACACATTATCAAAAACAATGGATTGGTTTATGAAATGATGTCAAATGAAAATAATAAGAAATATGCAATAACTATTTGTAGGATAGCTTTTGAATTGTTTATTGAAAATAAGTTTATTTTTTCAAAAGAAGAACTTTTACTATTTATCAATAAATTCAATGAAGTTGATGAAAGTCTTTTTGGTTTTATTGAAAGGGTTGAAACACATCTAGGTTATTTTTACCAATTTGCACATTTGACAGTCATGGAGTTTTGTGCATCTGTGTATGCATACAATTGTTTAAGCAGTAAAGAGATTATGGCCAATGAAAAGCTGAGGAGTTGTTTATCAATGATTTGTGGATTAAGCAATAAAAACCAAAATAATTTATTAAAGTTTCTTGTTAACCTGAATCCTAAAAAATCAAAAGAGGAGTCTTCACTTTTGCTTTTTATTTTGGGTTAGTAAGTAATTTTTTTAAATCTTTGTTGCATTTTTGATAAATAAACATATGTTCAAACAATAAATTTTGTTTCGTGTTATTTTTTTAAGGAGAAAAATAATAGACATCAAAATATTTCTATCATCAAAATATTTTTTCAATTATTTGTTTTTTAGCTATTTTTAATATATTTTTTAATAAAATAATCAATTTTGTTTAAAAAATTAATTTAAACAATTTTTATTCATTTATTAAATTCACAACCATCACAATTAAAGCGTGTATTTATTATTAGTAGTATTTTATTATTAAATATATTAATTATGTATATTGTTTTATGTAATATTTAACTTCTTATTGTTTGATTATTAAAATCAGTTTCTTATTTTTTGTACAGCACATTCATATTATGTATTCCTATTATATATATTTTACAACATATTTTATACTATTGTAGAAACCTTCATTTTGACTTGTAATTATTATGTAATCTTTTATCACACTAAGTTGCTCACAGGTTGTTTAGAAATTGTACATTGGTCATATCTGAAATATTAATTGTAACAAAGGAAAGTAAAAATAAGCTTTGACTTTGTATATATTTAAATCTGATTCAAAAAAGTTTTAGTATTTTGTTGGCAGATGCACGATTTAATGATGTTTTAGTAATAACTAAGCTAAAGCTTTCTGAAGCTTTCGACAAAGTTTGGCATGCTGGTTTTCTCCATAAGCTTGCTTCATATGGTGTTTCTGGGAAAGTTTTTGAGATTATCAAATCATTTCTTTCAAACCGGTCTATTAAAGTCATCCTTGAAGGCCAACACTCTTCATTATTTCCAGTAACTTCTGGGGTTCCCCAAGGTTCCATCCTGGGCCCTGTTTTGTTTCTTATCTACATAAACGATCTTCCTGACAACCTTTCATCTAAAGTAGCTCTTTTTGCTGATGACTCAACTTTATACTCCTGTCTTGACAAAAAGTCTTCTCTTTTCGATCGCCTAGAACAAGCAGCTGATCTTGAATCTGATCTCACTTCAGTAATAGATTGGGGTTCACAGTGGCTTGTAAATTTCAACTACCGTAGTATGGTCAACATTCCTATATTAATGAATGGCAATCCTCTTACTGAGTCGTCCTCTTTACGTCTTCTCGGATTATCGCTTACTACTGACCTTTCATGGAAACCATATATACAATCGATTGCTAAATTAGCTTCTGCTAAGGTTGCTTCTCTTTATCGTGCTCTCCATTTCCTTACTTCTGATTCCATTCTCTACCTCTACAAATCTTTTATTCGTCCCTGTATGGAATACTGTTGTCATATTTGGGCTGGTTCTTCTAACGATTCACTTTCTCTTCTTGACAAGGTCCAAAAACGCATTGTAAATGTTGTTGGACCTGGGCTATCTGCTAAGCTTGAACCTCTTTCCTATCGTCCTAGAGTTGCATCTCTTTCTCTTTTCTACAGATACTATCATGGTCACTGCTCAAAGGAGTTATCATCTCTAGTTCCATCAACTAAAATTCATTCTCGTTTTACTCGTCATTCAGCTAAGTCTCATTCGTTTACTGTATCTGTCCCTGCATGCTCTAAAAACTTTTATTCATCTAGTTTTTTTCCCCGCACTTCAATCCTTTGGAACTCTCTCCCATCTTCATGTTTTCCTGACTCATACAACCTTCAACTTTTCAAGTCTTCTGTAAACCGTTTCCTTGCTCTATAACTCTGTACTTTTTTTTTCCTAGTAACTCCCAATTTAATAGTGGTTGCTTGCAGCCTTGTTGGGAGTGAATGCAAATAAAAAAAAAATAGAAAAATAACAAGTTTAGTAATAGTCAAATCACGAAGTATAAAAATGTAAATTTCTTATTAACCAGAAATGCTATAAAGTTAATTAAATCCATTTCGAATCAAGAATAACTTTTTAAATGCAATAAAATTAAAATTAGTATTTCAGGATAATTTTATAAAAGGTTTATAAATCGGATTAAAGTCCACATCAATAAAAAAAGTAGTAACAAGAAAAAAAAGTCTAAATAATAGCAGTCCAGTTAAAGTGTAACTTTTAATATCACATCACTATTAAGTAGTTATTTTAATAGTAACTCATGTTTAAGTATATTTAAGTATATAAAAAATCAGGCATGCTGAAGGGACCTAAGGGCACACAGTGGTCAGAAAGGTTTCAAGTCTTTGCCGTGCTTCAATATTTTAAGAAGAGTAGGAGGCATCTGATACCAACCAACTCCATTTTCTTGGTTGAAGTAGATCTCTTCAGTTTCTTGGCACAAGTTTTCAAATTTTTGTGAATTTAGAGGAAGTCCTGATGCAAGAGCTCCCTATAATGTGGAAATGTTTTCAACAAGTTGAACTGGCACGTTGCATTTTGTCCTTTCTGCCACAGTTGACTTTTCTTGCTTAGAGAGCCTTTCGCTACACTTTTTTACATCCTGGCAGTATTCAATGTGATAAATTGCCTCAAATGATCTTAATCCAATGTGTAGTATTGATGCATCAAACTGAAGGGTGCCCTCTTTTGGTAGGAATTCACCATCTGGTTTTGCAATAGCATTGAATATCTGGTGACAAATGGCACATGAGGTTGAGGCTGGACACTTTGTTAATTGTTGCAGCCTTTTGCCATCAATCATGGTAAGGAATCCATATGAAACCTCAATCCTTGGATTGTCACTTATGACCAAAGGCTGTAGATCAACAACTTCTTTTTGATAAGCTTCCTTTGTTTCTCTTTCATATAAAATTCGAATTGGTCCGCAAGATTGATGTAATTTTGAAAAGTTATTATGATAGATGACGACATTGGTGCAATTTGCATCAACAATCTGGGGTACCAGTTGAGTGATCAGCAAGGTGCTGCCATCTGGAATCTTGCCAGTAAAATCTTTTTGTTGAAAGGTGCTGTAAGAACCACATCCATCAAACCCATACTTAAAGTACAGGATTAACTTCAGTGGGTTGCCATTCTCAATGAGAGCTGAAAGCAGAGACTCATCCAGAATCTTTTGAGTGGTTTGATACAGTAACTTTTAGATTGGGACCCAAGCTGAATGTTCTTCAATTTGAATACCATCAGGAAAAGCACATTTCGTTAGCCTCAAGTATCAAATTATAGCCAAATATTGCCATTACTCTCAGTGCAGGCATTTTTCATTGAGTTGTATTGATCTATGGTCATATCATTCAACAAGAGAAAAGCCAAAGCTTCCATTGGAGTTTTTATCTGAATTTCAGGTTTCTCTGAAGTAATTGCTTTTATTGCCTATCTGTTTCACCTGTAGATATTTGATCAACTTTCCCATGAAATTTTGATGTTGAGTAGCTTCTGGCAATTTGTTTTGCTCTGACCAATTTCTCTTGGAATGGAAGCTCCTTTCTCACAGCTTTTTTTTCTTCTGGACAACGTTTCTTTGATGCATATTTTTGTGAGCATTTAGAAGCAGCAACCTCAATGAAAGTGTTGAACAAAATAAATGAATTTTGGTCTTTTATTTGAAACCATCTGACAGTCCAAAAACTACACGATTTTTTTTTGAATTTACTGTTCATATGCCCCCAAAAGGCTAAACGTTATCTACAGCACATTTTTGGATCCAGTGAGAAAAATAAACATTGTGATAACTGAATTTTAAAAATTACAATTTTTGAGCAAAATTTGCATAAAAAATTGCTTTTGTATCATGTAGTTGTCAAAATATTTTTGCACTTCGGATGAAGATTATTAAATGCAAATACGGCTAAGGCAGCTAAAAAGAGTTGAATTACAATATAAAATTTTAATAATTTAAAGTTGACTTTTCAAAATCCCAATTAACTTGCAATTTAAGACCTTTCTGACCACTGTGGGGCAGGGGTGGCAAACCAAAACCATGGGCACTTTCCAAAATATCAACACAAAATTTTTACTATACAGGCCTTGTTTAAAATATCAAATGCTTAACGCTTTAGCTTAATGTGAATTTGACATCATAAAATTATCTGTATCTTTTCATTTTTTAAAAACATTAATTTTTTCAAATTACTGCAATAATATTAAGATTACCGCAAAATGAGTTAAATATTGTTTAACTCGCTTTTTATTAATTCTATAACAAAATGTTTATTTATTTCATTTTTTTTATATTAAATAATCTGATTTATATTTTAAAAAAAAGTTTTCATGTCAAAAATTTGTTTTTCTTGACATTTGTATAAATAAATTAAAAAATGTTAATTTTTTTAAAAAAAATTATTTCTCAAGTAATCATTTTAAAAAAATTGCAACTTAAAAAGATTTTTCGTTTAAAAAAAAATAGAAATAAATAAATTATGTTAATTTATCCACCTTTATTTATTAAAAGTTAATTATTTTATTAGCGATTTTGTTTTAAAACACCATTTGTTTATAATTATATCGTATGTTTCGAAAAAAAATTGCTGCACTCTACTTGCGTTATAAAAGTAGTTTAACGTTTAGCCTCGGAACACATTTATTTAATTTTGAGTAAATAAAAATGTTTAGAAAAGAAAACCGAAATAACAAATGCGACCTATTTTTTTTTTAAGAATAAATAAAATATAAGTATCAGGGGCGTATCTAGCATTTTAAATGGGTGATGCGAAATTTTTTTATCGACGTCTCCCTTCCCCCCCCTCCCCCCGCAACCTCTCTAGGGTTTAAGTATAGTCAATATAAAAAGTGGAGAAACAGCTTTTTTTACTAGTGGCGCCGCTGTTTATATCATTGAATAATAACTAAATTTTGTATTGCTTTTGCAGTATCCATTTTTAGCAGAAATTTTTACAAATGTTGCCTTGGCTATTTTGTTCATAAATTAGACATGTAATTTTAAGCCTAATTTACTAAACAAAGTGCACCAACGAGAAGGTAAGCCATAGGACTTTGCACTTCATCTGTATACTGTCATTTTGTCCTAGGTTAGCCCTCCATTTCTGGAGTGTAAAGTAATATTGCCTAAGGTTGGCCCTCCACTTCTGGACATATATATATACACACACA